ACTAGCCTCAGTGCCTCTCTCCACAACACCATTACACTCTGAAAGTGTAGAAAATGAATTATGTAGAACAACAGACTGTGCAAAATGTCTTTTATCCACAACTCTAAGTCTACCAGATCCTACAGTAATCCATCTGCCATTCCTAGTATGTCTCTGCGGCAGTGGCTTTGCAGCAGTTCCAGTCTGAGTTTCTACACCAGATAATTTACAAATCTCAGACTTCAAAAATACAATCTCCTGCCGCAAGATAGAGAACTGTCTACAGATTAGACAACAACCAAACCTCCAAAAAGTAGAACGTGAAACAAATGCATAGCAATTGTTACACTGAACTAAGCCTGCCATTCCAATTATGAGAATAATTTAAATCTAACAAATCTTAACTTTTTTTTTTTATCCTCCTGAATACCTCAGATTACCTCCAGGTTATCTCCAGAATATCTCCAACTAGACACTTAGAAACAGCACTTGGAAGTAGCACCAAGCTAATGAGACCAAGCCTTATATAACTCCTTAAATCACCGCCCACTAGGAATGTTTAACACCTGGGTAGGCCTCTGCTTATTTACAAACAATAGCTAATTAACCAGCAATCAACAGCAAGTAACTAGCTTAATCAAATCAAATGCCTTATAATTACCAACAGGAATTCAAACCTTGGGCAATCAGTAACCTTTTCCTACAGATGAATCTTACCTGTACAGTAGAAAAGAAAGCTCTTAGCACAACTCTTAGACAGTTGAAGCTTCTGTAAAACTCTCCAGAATATCTCCAACTAGACACTTAGAAACAGCACTTGGAAGTAGCACCAAGCTATATTAATCAGCCACAACATTGCAACCACCTATCTAATATTGCGTAGATCCCCCTCGTGCTGCCAATAAAGCTCTGATGGGATGAGGCATGGACTCCACAAAACTCTAAATGTGTCCTTGGTTTCTGGCATATATACCCAGCCATCCAACTGATCTAAAAGAAAACATGATACCAGACCAGGCAATCTTCTTCCATTGTGTAGTGGGCAAAGAGCACTTGCCCTAGAGAGTGGAGAAAATGGAGAGAGTAAGGATATAAGTAACAGTGAGAGGGACTCAACTAGTAAAAAAGAGCCCCCATAAAGGCTCTAGGAAATAAATAGATAAAAGTAGGTACAAAAACCTACAAGTACTAGGAGATCCCTAACCAGATGTTGTCACTAATACAAATATTAAAAAAAATAAAACCGTGAATTGAAATACAATATACGTGTACACACTAGGTGGCGACCTTGTATCATAAATATTCTCATATAGGAGAGGGGAATGTTAACTAAATATTGCGTTACCAGCAGCAATGGTTGAAGATATAAAGATAAAAATCAAAAAAATGAAAAATAATTTCATGTTCCTGCTTCTACTGTTTTATACCACTATTGGTTATACTATCTATACAACGTGACACATAGTTGCTGCTGTCAGTTCTCCTTGACAGTAACACATTGTGCTGGCTGTGATATTGGCATCTTTTTTTTTTTTTCATGCATTATAAGAACTTTGATATCCAGAGACTGTCAGTTGGTTTTATTGCCTCAGCTTTTGGACTAATTTGGGAAAGTTATTCACTGATAGTATATTTATTTTTATTTTATTTGATTACCAAGGACATATTTGTACTTATATCGTTTTTATTTTTTGATTTTTTTTCTTTTTATCTTCAACCATTGCTGCTAATGCAATATTTATTTAACCTTCCCCTCTCCTATATGAGAATATTTGATACAAGGTCGCCACCTAGTGTGTACACGTTTGCATTTCCTTTGTGCCTTTCACTGTTTTATTGTTTTTAATATTTGTATTAGTGACAACATCTGGTTAGGGATCTCCTAGTACATGTAGGTTTTTGTACCTACTTTTATCTAATCTTCTTCCATTGCTTAATGGTCTAGGTCTGATGCTCACTTTATCATTGGACAGTCATGATGGGCACTCTGACTGGTCTCTGGCTATGCTATCCCATCCACAGCATATTGTGATGCACTGTGTGTTCTGATACCTTTCTATCATGGCCAGCATTACGTTTATAAGCAATTTTGAACTACAGTAACTCTGCTTTGTGATCGGACCAGACAGGCTAGTCTTTGCTTCTCATGTGCATCAATAAGCCTTGGGCGACCATTACCCTGACCACCAGTTGTCTTTTCTTACACCACTATTGGTAGGTTCTAGCCACTGCATACGGGGAACATCTTACAAGACTTGCCCCTTTTGGAGATGCTCTGCCCTTGTCATCTTCCCACCACTGTTTGGCTCTTGTAAAGGTCACTCAGAGTGAACACATGAAATTCAACACCTGTTCACTCGCTGCCTAATATATCCCATCACTTGGCAGGTGTGATTTTATAATCAATGTTATTCACTTAGTCTATCAGTATAATCGGTGAACATGACAAGTAAAATTCATTTCATTGGGTTCTATGTTCTCAATACAAAGAGATCATTAGATAAATGTCACCAAAAAAAATGCCTTTTCATATTTTTGTAGGATGACTTGATGTTTGAGGTACCTGGAAGATACCAGCTACACTTAAATCTGCCACAACAGGTAAACGAAGACACGGTTAAAGCACAACTTCACAAAGAAAAGCATGTTCTGACTGTAACAATGCCAGTACTTAAACACATCACTGCTGGACAAACCACTAAAGCATCTCCGTGACAGCCACCAAATCTTTGCAAGCAATGAAATGTATGCTTTATAAGGACTGTAAAATGTATCTGCTTATTTCCCACAGGTGGTAGTCAGTGGATCAAGCATGACATATAAAAGGAATATCAGAATTAGTATGTGTTTAGTGTAATATTTGGCCCTATGTGCTGGTGTTTTTTGGGGTTTGTATAAATAACGTTATATAGCTTTTTAGGTGCTGTTGCAGAAGTCTCTTTCTAGTCTATAGGGACTGATCTTAGCGATAATGGGATTTGTACTTCTAATCATTACAGAGTGACTAGAACAATAAACCATTAGCTGACATTTTACATGTAGACTCGTTCACAGTTTAATAAAACAGATTTGAGTTTTAGGTTTGAGGGGGAAAAAAAAGAGAACTGTGCCTGCACAGACTGAAGCTTGTCTTTTTATATGGAGTTCATTGTAGTGGTTATGGTGCAAAACCCACCTCCAGCATTATTGTTTGTTCATGTTCAATAGATAATATAAAAATGAAAAAAAATCTTAAAGGCTTTTGGCAAAATGTAAACATTTAAATGACATGTAATATGTAACCCAGTCTTTGCAAACTCTTTTGACAAACACTTAACACATACAAACCCTCTTTGATGCTGGGGTCCAATACAAACCATTAAAGATGTAAATGTAACAGACATTACACTGAAGTAAAGGAACACAAATGTTTTGGGTCGTGTACCCATTCAAATAAAAATGTTTTATTTATGAATATCTAGATATATGTTTGTATTTTTGCACAAATAAATTGTTTGTTCACTCAGTAATTCTGGATGTAACTCTTAAGACCAGGTGTATTCAAGTAAACGTTACTTTGCCAGTAATCAGTAATTACTCAAATAAAATATTAACATAGTATTGGGTAACATTCTCAAAATTGTGTCAGATGGAAGAACAGAACACGGTAACAAAATCTTGTAAAATAATTTCATCTGATGGAAGAACAAAACAGCCTTGAATATCAAAATGTACAAACCATTATCTCCAAAATAGGAAAACAAAAATGTCAATGTATTTCAATGCATCTACCTACCTATCCTCAATTCTATACTTTGAAATGTCTTGTTCCTTTAACATATGGCAATTGTAAATTATTTGCATAACGAAACTGAAAAGATTTATATATTCCAGTTATGAGTTAAATGACAATCCAGGTATATAAAGACCGCTTTATAACATCAACTAGATTTTTATTAGAGTGAAACAGAATCCTGAAATGTCTGATCACCCATCCTGATCTATGTACTTGGACCTTGTTTCTGGGGGTTTGGTTCGATATTGAGGAGTGTTTGAATGACAGACTTACCAAGGTTATTGTACTGTAGCTTTTATTTGACGTTGAGCCACTGCTGTTTGTTTTAAAGTGTAGGCTTAAACCATCGGCTGACTTGTATTTTTCATCGTTTAAGGGCGGTATACTAATGAATACCCTATAACCAGGTTTACCACCTCGTGCCCTAGCCAAGATCTCTCCCCCTTTATAGGTCTGTGGTGAAGCTCAAGTGCTCAGTCTCTGGTTGTAGAGTGGGTGATCATCTTGATTCTTCTCTTCAATATTGCTCAGCTTTGTAGCATAGGAAAGTGCTAGATAAGGAATTACACCATTACTTCTACAATACCACAAGTGAATAGCAGGAAGAGATATCTCTGCTCTTTGGCATTAGAAGTGAAATTTACAAAAGATAGGCAGACCTGGACTAGAGTCTCTGTGACAGACTTATATGCAACCTCTGTAATTACTCCATAAGTAAACAGGAGAGCATGACACAAGGTGGTTCTCATTCGCTTTTCCTAGAAATGTTAGTTTTAACGTGTTTAACTTGGTGATGTAAATGTACATTTTTTACCATAAAAACTTGTATGAAAGAAAAAAAAAAAAAATATTCATAGACCATTAAAGTGATTTCCCAGCAAATGACAGCTGGGCCAAAACCATCAACCTTCTATTTATTAGACCATCTGAAATACACACAGACCCTACATTTACACAGATGCATATTTTGCCCTTGGAGCACGTCACAGACATGATTTAAAATCATATCAGGAAAATTGACCTTTAGGATAAGATACAACATGGAAGAAACAACCAGACCTGGCAAAGTGCTGGACCGTCTTATTAAAAGTCAGTAACTGTTATCGGAGTGGGGTACTTGTTATTGTACAGCATGGAGATTAAAAAAAAAAAAAAAAACTACCACGGTTTTTTTTGTTTGTTCTTTTAAATAAAAAGGAAAAAGAAGTGATGTATTTAGGAGTCTTTTGATGCAGGAGTACATAAATAGCTTGGTTGGATAACATGTGGGACAAGGAAAGTAGTGGATCTTTGTTCTCCTATTATAACAGCATGGTGGTAGGCTTCTCCAAGAACTTCTTAAATTCAGCAAGCCACTGTGCCCCAACTGCTCCATCCACAACACGGTGATCACAACTTAATGTGACAGACATCATGTTGGCAACATCGAAACTACAAAATAAAATAAAAACATAGTACTGCTTTTATTAAAAAGTCACAGTTTGTTTACATTCTTAAATCTTTACGTAAAGTACTTCTATTGCAATGCAGAAGTCATGTAAAACAATTAGACACTGCATGCGGTCTGTCACCCTTTTGCATTTTATTCAGTCAGTGATTCATTATTTTGGTCGCTTCTATTTAAGAGAGATGCAGCCTACAGCCCCGAGTGTCCCTACAAACTCACTTTAGTCTTTTAAAAAGGGAGCCATCACTAAATAAAATATTGTAATATGCTCAGTTTTCCTTAACGTGTATATTAAAGATCAAGCAGTATTTAATGGTGAGATATACGTTTTTACAGATCCACATGGGAAAGGTGGGGGAGGTTGCTGTTGCTTACAGTTAAGGAGTTAAAATAAGATTTGCATAGCATTCAGTAGGGAGCATTCTAAAGTTAAAGGACCACTATAGCTGAAGTGGTATGGGTGCCAGGTACCCTAGTTTTAACCCTGCAGCTGAAAACATAGTTTCAGATCAACTGCAAGATTAATCCAGCCCTTTAGTTGCTCGCTCCCTGACAGGCACTAGAGGCCGCTTCCCCGATCCTCAATGCAAAAATTGTATTGAGGACACGCTGACGTCCATAGGAAAACACTGAATAATTCTTTCCTATGGGCGGTTTGAATGAGTGTACATTCTGAGCGGACGTCGGCAGGGGGAGGAGGGGTCACCAGCGCAGAGGGAGCCCGGCGCTGAATTAAGGTAAGTGGCTGAAGAGGTATAGAACAGGAGATATTAACTTCTAAAGTAAAAGTACTGTGCTGTAAGATCTGGTTGAAAAACAAACCCCTTTTTCATGGAGGCAGTGGGAGCATAAATATAACTAATTACATACAGGATGCTCCAGCATGGACCCTGTATGTAATTAAAGTAATATTTACAGAGCAGGAGATATAAACATTTAAAGTAAGTTACATCTGATTGAAAATTATTTTGTTTTCATGCATTCAGTGCCAGTCACAGCCACGGGAGGTGTGGCTAAGGCTGCATAAAAAGAAACAAAACTGACCTAACGCCCAAATGGCAGAGAATTGGGCAGTGAGACTGCAGGGGACTGATCTCTACACAAAAACTGCTTTAATAAAGGAACACTATAGTCACCCACACCATGTCATGCCTTATCCTTTTAATCCTGTAATCCTGTAAAACACTGCTGCTTTCAGAAACTGCAATATTTAAATTGCAAGGTTAAGTCCACCTCTAAAGGCGCTTCTGGTGCTCTGACCGACCAAAACCTGGACACCTAACACGGAAGCCCACTGGAGAGCATTAAATACAATGTTTTCTTGTGTGGAAGCTTGTGCATCAAGTCCCCAATGCTCCTCTCTGACATTTCAGAAGGTGGAAAGGTGTGCAGCGCTGAGGAAGCCTCTGCACTGGAAAAAGTAAAACATTTTATTATTTTTATGGTGAACGAGAAGAACCTATATTTAATTAGGGATAGGAGGAACTATAGCATTAGGAATACACGTTTGTATACCCAATGCCATAGTGTTCCTTTAAGCTAAAAGGTTGTTTTAGTGCTTCAAATGCATCTTTAAATGTAATATTACACCTTTCAATGTTAGAGCATATTAAAGACACACTTTGTACAGTATAAGGAGAAAAATTGGCTTTCAAAAGTTCCAGAAATAATCTTCATTTGAAACATTACAAGTGGTCAATGTAACAAAATTAATAAAAAAAAAAAAAATTGAAACTGGAGCATAATATATAAGGAAAGAAAAAAAAATATATAGCATATTGATTAATAAAATAGGATATATTTTTACATGAAAAATGAAAAGAGAGCTAGTTAGCACAATGAATATGGTAAGCTTTACAGTTGTTTATAGTCACCACAATATAGAGAACTAAAAAAACTTTTCCCCCCCAAGATAGGAAAGTGCTGACACTGTAATGCCACCAAATGGTGCACTGGATCTTATATGTCTGCATACTTACCCTTTTTCATTGTCTGCTGGTAACAACCTCTTTTCAGATCCCCCCACAGCAAGAATGCAGGCCTGAGGTGGGTTAATAATAGCCGAGAAGTTTTTAATTCCATACATTCCTAAATTGGACACTGTGAATGTTCCTCCCTGCAAACGGAAAAATGGGAAATGCTTAAATTTTAATGACTAAAAATAAAATGAAAAGTCCAGAATTAGAAGTAAACGAATATTCTTAAATAGAGGCACCTGTGTTAATATTTAATCATGTGTATGATAATGTAATATTTTGGAAGATAAATGGGTCACTTGCCATGTAGAGGTTTGTTTAGGTTTTATTTGACAATCTCACCTGGAATTCATGAGGTTTGAGTTTTCCATCTCGTGCCCGGGTTGCCAAGGAAAGCACATCTGAGCTAATAGCTGCAAGGCCCTTTATGTGGGCATTGAATACTATGGGTGTTATAAGACCAGCAGGGGTGCTCACTGCCACATTCACATCCACCACATGATTCCTGAAACAGAGAGACAGGTACTTTGGTTATCTACCAGAACCTTCAAATACCACCACCTGAAAAGCAGCATATTAACATCTGATGCTCAGACAGAAACGTACCCATCATTTCATCCATTTAGTATTCGGTTGGATTGGAATATTGGAGAAACAAACATTCATTAAAAGGGACACTATAGTCACCAGAACAACTACAGCTTATTGTATTTGTTCTGGTGTGTATAGTATGTCCCCTAAGTCATTGTAATGTAAACACAGTCTTTTCAGAGAAAAAGCAGTGTTTACATTACTGCCTAAGGACCCCTCCAGTAGCTGTCACTCAGATGTCACTAGAGGCGCTTCCTGGGTCAGTGCTGCACGTTGCACTGACATTCAGCGTCTCCACGCTCTGCATGAACGTTTCTCACAGAGATGCACTGAGTCAATGCGTTTTCCTGTACATGCGCGATAGCCTCTCAATTGCTTTCCTATGGGAAACCATTGGACTGGGTGAGATCATAAACACAGGACCAGTGCATTGCTGGAAAAAGGTGAGTAAACTTACTCTTAACCAGAGGTAAGAGGCAGGGAGACCTAAACTGTTATTTAGACCTAATGTCAGGAATACGCATTTGTATTCCTCACACTATAGTGGTCTTTTAAAGCCACAAAATCTGATAGCACTGCTTTTTATGGTGGCTGCAAGCCTTCAAGTTTTTTTTTCACTCTTTATTTTAAAGTGGAACTGTTAATTAACTGAAAACCTCAATTCTTCACCCAGAAGATCTGACTTATTGAGACCATGTAGAGCAGTAGGTTTATCTTTAACAAAAAATGATTTTGTTTTATGTAGCCTATCTTAAAGTTCCCACAATATTTCAAATAAGTTGACGGGGAGCAGTCAGCTTTATTTTTAGAAACACGCAGCCTACAAGACAGATTTTCTCATTATGTAATTTCTAGATTATGTAAATCCCAGGAGATATTTGACATCAAAATGCAGGTCTAACAAAAGTATTTTTTGTGTCTATAATGTCAGAATTCTCTGTGGCTATAATTTCACTCCAACACCCAGAGATATCAGAGAGAAAGCTATGCCCAACCACCTACTTCAACTTGGCAAGCTTACACTGCACAAGAGGCCCCCCCCTACTCTGAAGTGACTCTTTTACTTAATTATTCTTTCAGCTCTGTTGTGGTATCACGATACAGTAACAGTCCAGGGAAACATACTGTCTAATGACTGTGTCCAGCCAGGAGGAGTTAGCCTCCGGCACTTTCAGACATGACAGGGCCGAGGCCTTGATGATGAAGTCGTTCACGGAAAGCTTGATGTTTTCAGGCTTGAGAACCTGCAAGAAAAAGGGCCAACTCACAATCATACTATTGAAACCATTTCAAATGCAGACAATAGAATAGAAGCATGCTAGCCATCCAACACTTGACAGTTTTTAATCAGTCAGCTGGTATTTGTTCATTCATTCCATTCTTCAATGTAATTATTATACGGACAAATTATGTAACTCTGAAGCTCCACATTGACGCATCGTGAAACAAATGCAATGGACAAGACATTTCATGATTCGGATGTCAGCAGATTTATTGTTAAAAGGAAACTCCAGTGCCAGGAAAACAATCCGTTTTCCTGGCACTGCAGGTCCCCTCTCCGTCCCAATCCCACGACGCTGCTTCTTCCTGTGAATGCATTTCAATGCTTTCCTATGGGGAAATAAGCGACGCTGGAGGTCCTCACACAGCGTGAGGACGTCCAGCGACACTCTAGCACAGGTTTTCTGTGCTATGATCCAGGAAGTGCCCTCTCGTGGCTGTCTAGTAGACAGTGACCAGAGGTGGAGTTAACCCTGCAAGGTAATTATTGAGTTTATAAAAAAACTGCAATAATTACAGTTGCAGGGTTAAGAGTAGTGGGAGTTGGCACCCAGACCACTCCAATGGGCAGAAGTGGTCTGGGTGCCTGGAGTGTCCCTTTAATGTTCAGTTCTGCATAAAACGTTATGCAGGTCACAAATGCCAACACTGCCAAGTTTCTTTTTATGGAAATTATCCATTGTGTCCCATTGCTGACACTTACTTTGCCACTCTATATTCAAACCCTATCAAGACGAGATAAGTTCTAAAACTAAATTCTGCAGTTCTCAGGTATGCTAGAAAGGATGCGTTGATCTACAAACATACTAGTGAACTAAAACCATCTCAATCAATATGGATCAGCAGCAGTGGTATTTCTAACAGCTATGGATCCAAAGAAATTTCCTAGCCCTGGTATTGGTAGTACCGAATAGATAAAAAAAAATAAAAAAAAAATAAAAAAAAATAAGTCTCTTACCTCATTCAGCTCCTTCCTTAATTCAATAATTTCTCCCATATTAATATCAATGGAGAGATAGTAGTGAGGTATGGTTTGTTTCGACTGCATGAGCCGCTGGGCAATTACCTAGAAGGAAAGGACCACATATGAGAAGCCATAATAGTATATTTCCCTACAGGTAATCTATTCACTAGACTTTGAATTATAGCAAACTGGTATCAGAATGGCTACATTTTGGGAAAAACAGCAGATATGGAAAAATTCCCTGGCATAGACACAGCTTGACTCTTTTAGACTAAATTTTGCTGCAGTTTAGTGAATAAAACCCACTATTCTCACAGCTACAGATCTTTTTAAATCTATGTATTTACAAGCAATTTCTCCAGGGCAAACCTCAGTTACTGTTTTCATTGCCAATGAATGGTTCCTAAGGCTGTTTAACAGGTCACAACCACCAAAGCTAAAAATACATGTAGAACTTCTATTCCTTAGAATTTCAAGAATGGTTTTACTATGTACGTCTTTATACAAATATTTTATGCTTTAGACTTGAGCTAAAAAGCAATGTGTTTATTTAATGCTACACAAAACAAACAAGGGGAAACCTGCATAAGCAAACTAGCAGAGAAACTGCAGGCAGAGAGAAGGAGCTTGGAATTGTATGCTCTTACCCTCCTGATGTTGCTAATAGGGACATCTGTGAAGACCCCAGTTGGAACAGCTGCCACAGCTGGAGATGGAGTAACTGCCTGGGTTGGTACAGCAGCAGCCGGAGCCTAACAGTAAAGACAGGGACAAAGAAAAACAAACTTAAAAACTACACTGTGCAAGTACCTCAAAACCTAGACTTCTAAAGAAAGACATTCATTCATTTTAAAGCTGAGCCGATTGACTAAAATCATTTCTGAACGTATTAAAATGCAGAAATATACACAGACACCCCTATAGAACGCCCTTAAATCTCCCATTGAGGACAAAGAATAAGTTATGTGCACGCAGTGCTTAATTCAGCAATTGTATAATTAAACAGAACAAAGTCTGTGTTGTCTGGAATAAAGCAAGCCTTTTCATTTTGGTATACAGATCTAAGAGTTTGTAAATCCATGCACACAAATGTTTGTAAAGGTCATAATATTTCCCTGTTATGTAAACCGCAACACATAATAAAGAAATTGGAAGGAGAGCCAGCCAGGCAGGTTCTTTGACTTTTACATTTGTGAGTTTCTCTGAAGGGCGTACTCTCTAAACGGTGAAATGTGGTCAATGGGCAAGGGAATTGCCATATACTGGACATTTTCTATTTTTATTTTTTATTTTGACCTAAAATGTGCATTAATTTTTTATTAAATTAGCCATTAAGTGGTATTTTATATAAAAAAACAGCATCCTACTTTTAAAAACAGTGGACAATCACTAAATACTATACTTCGGATGACAGAGATTAACAAAGTGACTTGGACATCAAATGCTTTATTGCCATCATTACAAATCCCTTTAAAAACAGCACAAAGCTTGGAATTTTCTTTTCCACCAACACTACGGAATAATGGGAACTAATTGGTTCAGTTTAGGATATGATATGGGACTTACTGCAGTAACCTTAGGAGGTACAAAGGCAACAATATCTTTCTTTGTAATCCTGCCATCTGGGCCAGTACCTAGAACCAAAAAAAACAGCAAAGAATAAATAAAAGATATTTGAAACAAAGTGAACAGCATTAAATAAAAATGTATTTGTACCGGAATAAAAGTAGGATCACTCAAGGATTTTACTACTTCCTTGTCCTGACAGAACCATTTTCTCCACAGAGGATCAAACCCCTATGAAGAGTATTTTAAGGTATATCACTTATACTTTGTGTATGGTATACCAGTAAGAGTGTAAATATTGGATGGGACTGAATTAAAGCCTGCGACATTTCACTGTATTTACCTAATCCCTTGTCTGGAAGAAGTTAATGGTGGCAGCCACAAACAGCAGTTGTATAAATACTTATTTAATTAGAAAACCATTGGTGCAATAGCACTCACTTCTAAATGCAAAACTTTCATACACATTTCCTGGGTGCTCTAATAAAAGCTATATGTAACTCCATAAAATCCAGAGACAATTATACCTAAGGACTAACACATATACAGAAACAAAATGTCTTTAATATACTGCCGCCATCTTTAACTACGCAAGCTACACTATCAATCTTGATCATCGTTATCAGGCAAACAAGGTAGTAACCTGAAAATGTATTTCAAAAGAACATTTCCTTTTATAACCGTGAATATATTGATGCCATTTATTCCATTTCATCAGAGTAAATACTGCATAGGACAAACTACAACCAGACCCACCTTCGAAGTACCCAGATCGACACTCACCTTTCACTTGTTTGATATCTATGCCTTTTTCAGATGCAAGTTTTTTTGCTAGAGGGCTCACGAATACCCTCCCCTTAGCACCGGAAGAAACAGGACTTGGCGTGCCAAGTGGGGGAGCTGTAGTTGCTGGGGAAGGTGAAGGCAGTCCTGCAGCCTTAAAAAATAAAGCACATGACAGTTAAAATTGTATTATCAGGGTTAACTCATTATTATTATCCCTAACAAATGCGTCCATTGGCGTTAGCAGTCCACGCAGTGAACACGATGACAGTCACAAATATATACTGATCTTCCCTGTATGGTATAGGAGTAAAGACGGGACTGAAATATGAAGCAATTTCTGCAAATAAAAACAGGGGATATCTTTCCGGGGACATAAGCTATAATAGTGCATGTAGTGTCAATAGCAAAATTACTTAAATTCACTGGGAAAAATAAAAATAAAACCATTAATCTAATTCACGAATAAGTGAACCCTTGGCCATCCAGACGATGTGGACTTCATCTCTCTTGACGCTTTGCCAGCATTATAGCTGTAAGAGCATTATGGGAGATGTAGTCCAAAATATTTGGAGGGCCAAAGGTTCCCCATCCCTGATCTAATACATACACCAAAAAAATTAATAAAAATAAATAGTAAAATCATTAGAGCTCAATAACTAATAATGACAGTTTATACCAAGAACTAAAAATAGCATTGTATAATGAAACCATTACTACTATTTCACAGGCCTTCAGGAAAATAATGACAGCAAGGAGAGAGTCCAGCTGGAGATTATGGTGAAGTAAGTGGAATGCTAGTTAATCGTGCACGGATGTCTTCACTTTATACAATACTCCCAATAGCAATGATCAAACATAGCATGCCAAAATCAACAGTCGCTCTGAGCATTAAACGTTTTAAACAAAAGAGGAAGAAAAAAAAAAAACGCATGTACACTGCAGGCACAGGTAAAATAAATTAACTTCACTGTACTTACAATGCAGTTAGATTGAGATTTAGCAGGCAGTGCTGCACAAAGAGCAATTAGAAGGTAAAGGTCTGCACCGCCTGATCACACAGGGCATATCAGTCTACACAACCTGCAAAAATTGTGCCGCAAGCATTGTCCCCTGTCTGGCTCTAGGCAACAGGCAGAGAGCAGTGCTGTATGCGTGTACGTTCGTAGCACAGCTCCTGCACGTTAAAAAGGATGAATTGCAGAGCGTGAGACACCAGTGCACACTCACACTATACAGGTACTGGGGCGACAAGTCAAAAAGGAAAAAAAAAAAAAAGTGCTGGGATCTTGAAAAAGAGAGCTTTCATTGAAAATAAGGAACACGTGAAGTATGTGAAAGAGAAAATGTGTTTGACACACTTTCAGAGGCACTAGAATCTGCTGCAGTAGTTTTTAATGTTAGAAGTGCCCCTGTAAATGTCTATAAGAAACATGTGCCATTTGGAATGGCTGGATTTTATTACCGGAGCAGAGGGTGCTGGTTGAGGTTTAATATCTACTACAGCGGACTCCTTGTAATCCACAAAACTGGCAATATCGGACTCCTTCTCCACGATGATGCACAGAGGGGTCCCCAGAGGTACATCTCGTGTCCCTTCTGCTATAAGGATTTTTGCCAAATAACCTTCTTCCTGTACCTCAAAGCCTACATGCAGAGAGAGGAGAATGAGATACAGAGCTACACAAAGACACAGGAAATGTATATTCATATGGCTAGTAGATATGTTCAAGTGCTGCCCTTTCTTTATGGAATGTCCTCCAACTCCACATTCAACTCTTCCAGTTTCTGCAAAACTCTTTACAAAAACAAAATCCTTAAATATTTCTTTATAAACCAAGGAAAACAATTACTTGCGTTCCTTCCCAAAATCCCTCCGCACTCTTCGATAAGTGGAGGTTTTTAGGATTACTCCAATGGACAGTAAAGTGTATGTTCACCTGCCATGTGAAGACAAGCCTCTTACGGGAGTTCTACACCAACAATTCACCTTGCTAGGTAAAATCTCTAATGAGAAAGAGAGGGGGATTTTTCTAACCCTCAGCATAAATTAATTAACCCTTAATAGGGAACACATAGGGCGGGTGGTAGAACTCTAGCATGGCTGTTATATTGCAAAAGTAGGGGGTTTTTTCGGTGTCTTTTATTGAATGTATTGGGGATGATGTGTACTATAGTCATTGCAGCCGCCCAAGAGTAGTGGGAGCCTGGGCGCAGGGCTTAATTTTATATGTTTGTACTTCTTCAGAGAAGCCCATCAGCTCGCTCATTAACTCCTCATTCATTACAACTACCTCCCAAACACCCCTTCCATCCTTCCAGTTATATTCAGATTAGCCGATTCCCTGTAGATTTGTCCCCCATTCTTTTAAATTGTACGCAGTGCACTCTTCACCTATTGCTTCCATATGTCAAATGTGTTTTGTTAGAATTGTTTTGACTATTGTACAGCACTGCAGAATATGTTGGTGCTATATAACGAATTGTAATTGCTGTGGATCACTGTTTATCCATATAGAATGATTAATTCAAACAAAATGGTAACATACCGTAGTTTATAAAATTTGTCTAACCAAGTTTGCTGTGTTTTCAATACACAAAAGTAACATAAAAAAAAAACAAGAAAAAAAAAACAAAA